TCTCTGGAAATCAACAAAATGGCATTTTAGGAGTCACTTTTATAGGCCATTAGAGACTGGGCAGCAAAATAAATATCTCCTGCTCTTTTCAGTACATGGGAAGCACAAATAGGGCTTTTAAAAATAATACCTTCCCTTTACTAAACTTGTACTGTGAGTCAGTTTCTGTGTGGGTATTATCTACTGAGGTAGGTGTTATTAGCGTCCAACAGCTGATGAGGTCACTGAGGCTCAGAGAGATTAAGTAACTTGCACAGGATCACACAGCTGATCGCTAGTCAAACTGGACTTCTTAGTCATGTCTACGAATGCCAAAGCCCACACCTTTGTGCTAACTCTCAAAAAGCTAATCTGAGTGCCTGCTGCATCACTGTGGCAGAATTCAGAGAGATGGGACGTGATGGGGATCCTTGAGGAATTCAGAGAAGAAATAAATAAAAATTAAAGTCTAGGTGGCATCTGTATTTGGGGAAAGGGACTGGAGAATCACAGAGGCTCACTTATGAACCTCTACATAAAGCCCCTAATGCTCTGGCCCAAGACTTCAACAGCAACTGGGCAGAAAGAATGGACTTAAGAATAGTTTTTTTACTCCTCATAGGGTCTGTCCCTTCCAGAGAGCCAAGGCACTAATAAGAAGCATCCAGCATATTCTCTCACTGACTGATTTTTGCAACAGCTTTGCTTCTCTTTTCTTGGCTATTACTCAGCCATCATCATTCATGCAGTTACTTCTCTGATTTCCTCTTGCAAACTTACAAACCGCGTGAATCCTGTTAATTCCAAGTTGAAAGATCTCTCTGACTGAGGCACGCTCCCAAAGCTCATCTCGTTCTGTGCCCACCCAAGAAGGAAAAAAACTCTTTGAAAGCTGAAAGTATCAGAGTGTTACAAAAAGAATACAGTGGCTTAGCATACGGTATTTGTTTTTCTCTTTCTGGCTTACCTCACTCTGTATGACAGGCTCTAGGTCTATCCACCTCACTACAAATAACTCAATTTCGTTTCTTTTTATGGCTGAGTAATATTCCATTGTATATATGTGCCACATCTTCATCCATTCATCTGTCGATGGACATTTTGGTTGCTTCCATGTCCTGGCTACTGTAAATAGTGCTGCAATGAGCACTGTGATACACGTATCTTTTTGAATTATGGTTTTCTCAGGGTATATGCCTCGTAGAGGGATTGCTGTGTCATATGGTAGTTCTATTTTTAGTTTTATAAGGAACCTCCATACTGTTCTCCACAGTGGTTGTATCAACTTACATTCCCACCAACAGTGCAGGAGGGTTCCCTTTTCACCACCCTCTTTCCAGCATTTATTGTTTCTAGATTTTTTGATGATGGCCATTCTGACCAGTGTGAGGTGACACCTCATTGTAGTTTTGATTTGCATTTCTCTAATAATTAGTGATGTTGAGCATCTTTTCATGTGCCTCTTGGCCATCTGTAATGGGAGCTAAAAAAAAAAAATGGTGCTGATGAACCTAGTGGCAGGGCAGGACAAAGACATAGAGAAGGGACTCGAGGACACGGGGTGGGAGGGGGAAGCTGGGGCGAAGTGAGAGTAGCATGGACATATATACACTACCAAATGTAAAATAGTTAGCTAGTGGGAAGCCCCCGCATAGCACAGGGAGATCAGCTCGGTGCTTTGCGATGACCTAGAGGGGTGGGATAGGGAGGGTGGGTGGGAGACACAAGACGGAGGGGATATGGGGATATATGTATGCATACGGCTGATTCACTTCGTTGTACAACCAAAGCTAACACAGTGCTGTGAAGCAATTACACTCCAATAAAGATCTATTAAAAAAATACAATGCCTTCAAAACATATAGTACTTGGCAATTTATAATGCAGTTTTCTTTATCCCCACGACAACCCCGTAAGATTTTATTATCCCCACTTTACAAAGGAGAAAGCTGGGGCTCAGAGAGTCAACGTGACTTCCCCAAAGTCACACAGTGAGTATAAGGCAGAGTGGGGACTTGACCCAGGTCTCCTGACTTCACAGGCCAGTGCTTTTCTCCACAAGATTCATCATCACAGTCATTATTACCATGTTTGAGCAGAAGGAGTGGTGGGGTGCAGCGTGGTGACTCTTTCTCAAACGTCTCCAGGCCAAGCAACCACGCATTATTCTCATTACCGTCCTGGGAACTTATCTTCCAAAAGACTAGCCTCCTTCAATCTGCAAAGACACCCCCGGGGCTCCTCACTGCCCCGCTCCTTCCTCCTCTGCTGCCCTGGCTAACTGACGTGGGGGGTGTCCCTGGCAGGTGGGCACAAGGCAGGTGGCCCCTGGCTTGCCTTTTCCCCCTCGTCCCCTCTACTTCCCAGGCTCCCCAAATGGAACACAATTGGAGTTTCATCTCTCTCTATTCTGCTAATTTGCTGGGCTCCCCCAGATGCCTCCTTACGTTAGGCAAATGCTTTTGCATTGCTCTGGGAATAGTCTAATCCTTTTCTACCCTTTTCCATGTTAATGCTGTGATTTAGAGCAGCAGTGTTAGATAGGAAAAAATAAACAAATAAGCAGACAAAGAAGTCCCTTGTGCTTTACATTTTGAGGGGTAGTGACTGGGAGGGGTCGTGAGGGGGACATCTGGGGCTCTAGCAATGGGCTATTTCTGTATCAGGGTGCTGATGACACAGGTGTGCTCACCTGGAGAACGTTCATTCAGCTGTGCACATATGATTTGTGTGGCCTTCTATATGTATGCTAGACCTCAGTGGAAAAATTCCAACAATGGAACAGGCAGGTTTGTGGTGGGGCAAGCCTGCCGTGGAGGGAGTCCCTACACCAGAAAAGCAGCTATACTGGATTCTTCGAGGGGCCTTTCAACCCTGAGAGCAAAGGTCTGTAGGATGCTGCAGGGGGAACAATCCCATAGCAGCCCAAAGAAAGGGCTGTTCACGACACTACAGCTGGACAAGAACAGGGACCACAGAATCCCAGCTCGTCTCTTTGGGCAGGCATCTCCTCAGCCTCTCAGGACATTTCAGGAGACCTGGCCCCTAAATCCCGGAAGGGACACTGCACAATCACCTAGGTTACCCTACCACCTGTGTTGGCCAAGAAAGGCTTAGCTTCTAGGTAACCTTTTCCACTTTAAGATTCAAGAGTCATAACGGTGAGGTTGAATTCTGCTCCCCAAGCACAGCAAGGATCTTGCATTGATACCTGTCTTACATCTTTTAAGCAGGTTACTTTCATGAATGGCTACAAATAGACAAATGAATAATAATTAACTGGCACACCCATTCCTGGTGCAGTCCATACGTTTGAAGCCATTCAAATCTCCAGGTATGTGAATAAGCTGTTGCTCACCCCCGAATGTTCTTCCCTTCTTTGATTGTCTAGGAAAATGCCTACCTGTCTTTCAGGGTGTAGCTTAAAGGCCCCTTCTTCTATGAAGCATTTCCTGCCCGCTCCAGGTAGAGCAAGTGACCCCGGCTCTAGGGTCTAAAGCATTTTGTGTACACGTTTCATGGAATTTGCCACTATGCATTAGGACAGGTACCTTGCAATAGGTTTTTCCTGGGCCGGCTTGGTTTCTCAGTCCCATTTTAATCCCGAATGCCTGGCCCAGCTCCTGTTACATCAAAGCACGTCTGGATGAAGGGGCTACTTAAATGATCTGGATATCTCGTGCATTTATAAAATAAATAAGGGCATAAAATAATTAAACCTCTTCTCTGAATGACTGTTTATAACAGCTCTATCTGTAATAGCCAAAAACTGGAAACTATGTCTCTCCACAGGTGGACAGTTAAGGAAACTGGTACATCCACACCAAGAAATATGACTCGGCAATAAGAAAGGGCAAACTATTGATTTATGCAACACCTTTGATGGATCTTGTGGGCAGTACTTTGAGTGAAAAAAGTTAACCTCAAAGGTCATTTACTCATGACTCCATTTATATAAAATTAGAAAATTTAGAAATAGAGAACAGGTTAGCAGTTGTTAGAGGTTAGAGATGGTGGGAAGAAGGGAAGTGGGTGCGACTATAAAATGGTAGCTTGAGGGAGATCTTTGTGGTAATGAGATAGTTTTGTATCCTGATTGCAGTAGGAGTTACACAAGTCTTAATAGCTTTGATATTTTGATATCCTGGTTTTGATATTTACTGTAATAATGTAAGATGTAACCATTAGAGAAAAATGGGTTAAAGGTACATGGTACCTCTCTGTATTATCTTTGCAGCTTCCTGTGAATCTATAATAATCTCAAAACAAAAAGTTATAATTTTTTTAAACCTGTTCTCTGAGGTTCTTTCTACTCTCTGAGTGTGTCTATACTTCACAACAACCTTTCACATCTCTTAATGTTTTACAATTTCAAAATACACGCAGATTAAATCACATCATTTCGAAATGACGGCAACTCCATAACGTAGCTGTCCTTATGCCCGTTTTACAGATAAGGAAAACAAGGCTCAGTGCTTGTTGAAGGGTACACAGATGGTACATGGCAAAAATAGTGCTCCAACTTGACTCAGTAAAATATCTACAGAACTGTCTTCTCAGCTGCAAAACAAGGGGATTTGGCAAAAATGGCCTCTGGAGGTGTATCCAGTTATAACACCTTTGTACGTAGGACACGCATACATCTTGTGCTCTAGCTTTCCTACTTCTGAGCCAGCCAGCATAAGGGTCTGGCAGTGTAGAGACTGGACTGCAGGCCAGTAACTGGACCTATAGAGGAGAGCATCCATCAGAGGGCTCAGGGCTATGTTGCTGGTGGCATCTGAATGGAGGCATTAGATTCCCCAAATTTCCATTCTCTCCAGGCTAAGAATTGTTGGGATGAGAATCCCAGTGGCTCCTGGGTTTCCACGTTTCTCAGATGCCCTGCCTCTCTGGCTGGCTTCTGCTCCTCTGTTCCATTTCCCTACTTCCCATCTCCCGGGCTTCATTCCGTCACACCCCACTGACCCTAATTAATGATACTCTCTATGCCAAGGAGGTGAGCTGTGAAAATGTCTTACCAGATTAGTGAAGATGTATGTGTAATAGGCTGACACCATCCCTAGTTCCGCTGCCTGCAAAGGGAAGAGAAGGAGATTAGAGAGGAAAATAAAAACCCGCTGGAAGTGCGTGAGCAGGGAGGGCTCCAAGTGTCCGCCCTTGGTCTGGCCCACTACCCGTCAGCACCAGCAGAGTAGAACATCTTGATTGATTGTTTCTTACATCGCCCTCGGCCTTGGAGGATGGAGCACAGAACCCCTGGCCTCTAGAGGAAGGTCCATCCCCCTCCACCCCACACCCCACCCCTGCAGTGACACTCCTAGTAGCTGATACTCTCAGGTAAAACACACTCCCATGGATATAACTGGGTATTCTGGAAACCAAAGTGACTTTATGGGAAATGAAACAAATAATAAAACCGACTATAATAATTATCCCCACACCCATTAACAATACAAATGGCTAACACTCACTCACTGTTCAGTCTGCACCAAGCACTAGAAAGCATTTTACTTGGGTTAACCTGATGAGGTAGGCACTGTTACTCCTTTACCACCCCCACTGACAGCTGAGCACTGACAGCTGAAGCACCAAAGGCTGTGCAACTCGTCCAGAAGATCACGTGTCTCATAAATGGAAAAGGTGAAATTAAAGCCAGGCAGCCTAATACTCCCCTTGGAGGGCTATGATATTGATGGAACTACTGACACACTCCTCTTAGGGGCCGAGGCATAGATAGGAGAGTCTGTGGGTTGTAGGCAATTCCCAAGTTAACTGCACGCCTAGTGGGATGAGAGTGAGTGAGACTCATGAGTGTATTCTTGAATCTGCAGTGATGTTGGAAACAGGTGAATCATCTGCAAACTTTGGTCCTTGATTAGTAGGGAAGAGCAAGTTGCCTGGGACGTGCCCTTGGTCACAGCGCATCAGCAAGTCTCAGCCCATAGTTGAGAGCTGTGACTTCAGAAGAGCCTCTTTGTGTAGCCATCATAAATACCCCTAAGCAACCTTCCCTGTCGGCGTGCCTGGCTTGGAGTGTGACAGGTGCTATAGACGCTGACAAGGAGATCACGGAAATAATGAGCCCAGCTCTCCCCAGGGCCCTCATCCCTCCTGACCGTGGGTTAGATCTGCATCATGTAGCCCACAGCCATGGGCCCCTGGGAAACTGTTTTTGTCATGACTACTGAGGTGCATGGGGGGAAAAACAAGGCCAGGGATGATTAAATTTTCCCCTTACATCGTGTTGATCCCCCAAGGCACTCCAATAACTTTGTGAGCATTCTCACAGGAACCTTTACAGGCTCCTTGAAGGATAGGCCAGGGTAATTATATCACTGCCATTCCAATGGGAAACAAATGCCCGGGGCGAGATTACACGGGGCGTCCTGATGGAGCCCAAGGACCCTGACGGGAGGCTCTTCCTTCTTCTAGCAAAGCTACATTGCTTCCTCCTCTTCCAAGAAGATGGTGGGGCACGATGCTCACCTCCATCCCTTCCCTCCCCCACTGCTTTCCGTATAATAATGCCCTTGCCTCTCACCACTGCCTAGGCCAGCGAGAGCTCCCGGGTTACAGGGATGGGCTGGGGGCAGGGGGCTGGGAGAGGGCACCGTCAGATGGTTAAAACCCACTTTGTGAAATCTGCTGTCCTAAAAGTAAGAGACAAGAGATCCTTGGTTTTTAAGACCTGAATTCTGGGTAAGCATGGAGTTCGTTGCCAGAACAGCCGCTCAGTAAAGTAGGGGATTACTCTGGAAATCTTTCGGAAATCAAGAGGCAGCGGAGTGCTGCCTAGCTCTGGGGCCAGGCTCAGGAGTGCACACCAAGACTCCCAGAAGCTCCGTACATCCTCTGATCACACTGCTTCCCACACTGAGTTCATCCTCCCTGAGGCCCTCAAGGCCGGGTTGTAGCCCCGTGAAAGAGGAGTCTGGAGCTCCAGGGAAACATATGGACTGAGTCCAGGACGGATGCAGGGCCAGCCTGCTGGGGCTGCTAGGAATTCAAATGGGAACAAGGTTTCCCGAAACCTCGCTGGTCACTGATGGATTTGGTTCCAAGGTCACAAGGGCTGAGTCTGACAGGTGGCCTCAGGAAAGCCTGCACCCAGCAGAACCATTTGCTAATAATGATAATTACAAGGGAATTTCCTTCAAATGCACAGCCATAAAAAAAATTAAAGGCGTTTTTAATGAAAATACCCAGTATTGGCAAGGGTGCTATAAGACACCTATATGCTGCTGGTGGGAATGTAAATCCTTACAGCCTTTCTAAAAGGCAATCTGGCAAATCATATCAAAATCCTGAAAAGCATGCATACCTTTAACTCAGTAATTCCACTCCTAGAAATTTATGCTCAGAAAATATTCATGAATTTGCATAAAGATTTATGTACAAAGACGTGCATCCCAGCATTATTTATTATAGCAAAGATTGAAAACAACCTGTATCTCCAACAATAAAGGATGGTTAAATAAATTATTGTACATCCATGTGATAGGAAATGATGCAGCCATTAAAATATTTGTAGAAAAATATGCAATGACATGAGAAAAATGCATGGCATATTATTGAATAGAAAAAACCCACAGTTTTCCAAAGAGTGTGTGCCGTGTGATAATAATTTTGGAAAAGGAAAAAAATGTGTCTGTAAAGGCGGAAAAGCTAGACACCAAAATTTAATAGTGGTTCTCTCTGGGTGATGGAATTGTGAGTGATGTTAATTTTTTTCTGTGTGCTTTTCTGTACTTTCCTAAATTTTAACAATGAAATACACATATTAAAGAGAGTGGGGAGGCAACTGCATATGCTGGGAGCGATGAAATATTCCTGGGCAAGGGCTGAGCCTAAGACTTCCACCGGGGGCCCATCCGGGTAGGAACCAGTTACCGCAGGTTCCAACCCGCCCCTGGCAAGGGGACTGAGGGAAATCTATCTCACTCCCTACTCCCCACCTTCCTGAGGACTCCTCAGCCTTTATCTCTCGTGCCCTGAAACTTAGAGGAGCTTTTCTGTCTTTGATGACTTCCTCGATCATAGCTCCGGACATAAGAGAAGAAAGAGAAAGAGAAAAATTCTGTGTTTGTGTGTGTGAGTTGGGTATACCCACACAGACAGACGTGGGTTTGGAGCTGTGGAAAATTACTATAGCAACAGGCTGAAGGGACAGCCCGCAGTACTCAGAGAACTCATTCTAATCTCTTATTAATTCTGAAACAAAACTAGCTGGGGTGGGGAGGTTAGGAGACAGCGAGGGAAGGAGAGGGAGAGAGAATCATCGCGTGTCTGCCGGCCTCCTCATGGCTCGGCAGAAGTTAATGAGGAACCTCACCCCCACTGGAAGACGGCAGGCTGCGCTTAAATGTGCAATTAAAATGGCATTAGAAGAGGCCAATGTGCCTGGAGAGGCTGGGGGAGCTGCCAGAGCCATGGCGGAGCCTGGAAGCAGGGTCTACACTTTCTGGGGCTGCTTGCCTAGCCAAGCCACCAGCCCAGCAAGTGGAGCCAGTGATTCCAAGGATACCCAGCAGTTTGCAGCTTTGCAGCTGTTTGTCCAGAGTGGACCCCCAGGCACTAACTTCTCTCTCTCTCTCTCTCTCTCTCTCTCTCTCTCTCTCTCTCCATTTCCATGTGTATATGTTGATTCAGGAGCTAGCACCCTGCCCCTCTGTGTCCCGGAGGGTAGAAGAAATGGGCTGATTTGCTGTTAAGAGAACCAATGCCAACTTCGCTCTGCTCCTCACAGGGCTGGGCCTTGGACAAAGCTGCTCATCTCGCAGAGTCTCAGTTTCTTCATCTGCCAAGGGAAGATATCACGCCCACCTCACATGGTCATGGAGAGGATTACACTGAGAAATTACATGACAGCACTCGGTGAACTGTAGTACACGTGTAAGGATTATACACAGGCCCGATATTCAGTAATACACACGGATGTGACTGCCCTGGTTGTCAAAATATGGACATGCTTCTACTCCTTTTGGCAAATAGCCTCTGTCCCAAGTCCCCAAGTGGCCCACGCCACCACCCTAGCCCCTCCTAGGAACCCCCGGACCACAGAGCTCCTGGCAGGTCTAGGCTTGGCCAGTGTTTCAGCTGGTGGCTGCCCCGTTGCACCATGAGTTACATGTTTCTATGACATTGCTATCACCCTGCTTTCTCCTTTTAGCTCTCAGGAGCCGTCCACTGAAACTGAAGCACACAGAGGTTTGTCAGGGTCAGAAGTCCAGCCCCGGGCTCCTTCAGCCTCGGCCCAGGAGGATGCCCAAGGCAAGAAGGGAGCAGAGTGCCAGCTCGGAAGGAGGGGGAGGACGCTCGGCGCCCACCAGCACCCGCCCGGCCCAGCGCCCACCTTCAGGAGGATGGTGTGGGACATGGAGGCGTTGGCATGGATGATGATGGTGGCTGTCTTGTCATCCCGGATCTCCTTGAGGAGTGGGGTGGGGTCCCTAGTGTCATCCAGCATCCGGACCGAAAGGGTGTCCTTGGAGATCAGGAATTGCCGGAGCAGCTTCTCGAGGTTTAAAAGGCCTGCAGGGGAAGAGAGGACAAACCCTCTGAGGGTCCACAGCGCTGCCTCGGGAGACACGGGAGCCAAAGCAGGACAAGCAAAGAAAGACTCCGGCCGGAGTCAGGGTCGCGGGTCTGCCCCCTGTTGGTTAAGCAGCAACATCCTAACCTGAACGAGTCTCTTAACCTCTGGGGCGTCCTGTCACCCCATCTCAAATGAAAAGAACCCTCCTCAGCGCCCAGGGCCTACCCCGACTCCCTGGGGAATGCTCTTTTAAAGCAGAGAATGAGGCTCCCTTGAGTCGGACAAGAGAATCCCCAACTCCTTCTCACGGCCCTGGGGGCAGCGCTGCCCAGCAGCCAAGACCTGTGTTCAGAGACCCACCAGGCCTGGGTCTCTTTCCC